ACAGCGCAGGGCAGGCGGTGGGACTGGAGGGGATTCGCCTGCCCTTGGCTCTGGGCAGAAGCCACCGGCCATCTCCAGCAGCCCACCTCCAGGCCTCCGGAGCCCGCTGCCTGGGGGAACCCCGCCAGGAGGGACGGTCCGTGCCAGGGCTGCTGGGCGCAGCATGGGGAGGAAGAGACAACCCAGTTAGCGTTTCAGGACTTTACTGTGGTCCCACAATGACAGCAGAAAGGGATGGACTTTTTAAATACATTACAAACCAAAACGTATCTCAGGGAGTGCAAGATTTGCAAACAGTGGCATATTAAGGAGTAGTGCGGCTTCAATTCAGGGCTGAGGCAGTGGAGCCGGGGTGCCCCCCCCGAGAGCCCGCGACGTCACTCGCAGCGTGCTCACACAGAGGGAAGAAGCTGAGAAAGCTGTGCTGCAGCCTCTCCTGAGCGACCCAAGGCCAGCAGGGTCCCCGGGACTCTCCACGCTCCCGGCTCTGCCATCACTCCGCCACAGGTTTCGCTTCCTTGGCTGCTTCCAGCCGCGTCAGTATTTCGTTCCACTGGACAAACTGCTTGGAGAGCAGCAGGGTCTGGATGGGACTGTTAAGGGAAGAGATGTGGAAACTGCAGGGGAGAAAGCAAGGTCAGGGCGCCCTGACAGCCCCGTTACAATCCCAATTCCTTGGGAGAGGAAGAGGCCCGGGGCACCAGGCTGTAGAAAGCTCACATGGGCTCAAACCGTCCAGGCGCCGAGGCACTGCACAGCGCCGAGCACCAGCAGGAGTCCAGGAGGCGCTTCGGAACACCGTGTGGCACTGCATTTCAAGGGGCTTTCTAAAAGAAGCAGAGCCTCCCTACCTGCTGTGGTTTTAGGTTGCGTCTCAGCACCGGGATCCTGCATGGCCAGGATTAGCCGCTGTTTGGCTCAGGCAGGTCGCAGGGAGCAGCAGTGGCCCGACAGAGATGCCAACATGCAGCCGGCCAGCGCGAGCTCTGCGGCAGCACGCAGGCTGTGCTGCTCCTTTTTTGCTGAGCTGCGCCATGACTGGATCCAGCACAGAGGCTCTGGCTGGCAGGTGGCATCCTGCCCTTCCCATCTCAGAGAGACGGGCAGTTCTGGTCCTCGTCTCTGCTCCCCAGAGGAGTACGACAGGGACACAGCTGTCACCACGACAGAAAGGGCACCGGCCATTAAACCCAGGGCTGGGGATCACCTGCTTCCAGCAACATCTGGTGGCGTGAGGCAGCCTGGCAGACGGGCAGGCAGTTCAGCCGTGTCAGGCCCAAGGCTCAAAGGATACCATTTTATTGTAGTCTTCGAGGAGCATCTTGACACTGTCAGTGAGATCTTGACGCTGTTCCTGCAAAGAGAGGAGCCGCAGTGAGTAAGCAATAATCAGCTGAAGGACATCTGTCCTCCCGGTCCCTGACAGCACGGGGGGAAACTCAGCCGAGGCCAGTACCAACATTAGAGCTCAGACCCTGGCTGTGGCCACTCACTGCAGCTTTAAGTGTTCCAACAGTCAAGAGAAAGGTTACAAACACCCAAGCTCACGAAGCACCAAAGCTCCCCTGGGCTTGCACTACTGCCTGCCTTTCCTCAGCATCCATGCTTTGCTTGCTTCAGAATGGAAACTCACAGCAAAATGCTGAACGGGGCCATTAGGTGCCGCCCAGACTACTCATCACCAGCTCCAGGAGCGCTCAAAGGGGGAAGGGAAGGTTGAAGAGACAAGGTGACAGTACCAACAGTGACAAGGTGACATTATCAACAGCCTTCCAGAGACTGGGTGCGCTTTTCCAGTTCAGAGTCAGAAATCCTGGCTAGTTTCCACCCCCGCCCCCCAAGTGTTTACAACACTTCTTTAAAACTGCAGCATGAATATCCTGAACAAGATGCAAAAATAAAGTAAATGAGCAACTCAAGCAATTGCCAATACAGGGCTGTCAGTACAGCCGCTAACAAATGGTTCCTCCTCCCTGCTAGTCAAGACTATTCACGCTACCTGCTGCTGTATGTGGATTTGAGAGAGTCGCTGCAGTTTGGCTGCATGGTCAGGAACCACTGAAAGGACAGAGAGAAATCCATTTTGTTTGTTTTACATCACATGGGATTAGTTATCAAAATAAAGACCGTTCCTTCTCCACGAGCAGGTCACAGCAGAACTCCGCTCACTGAACGCAAGCGCCACACGCCACAAACAAACCTTTTACACCACACAAACCCCCTACCTACCCTGTACATTAAATACCAAGTGTATTTGCTCACTGCTTCTGGACATCGTGAAGTAGGGGATGCCTGCAGTGAGAACTACCTTGAGTAAACTATTTGGTTGAACATTAGGAGTTGAAAAGGCATCTACGCCAAGAGCAGGGATGGTCTGGACATAAAAGAGCTTGTAGGCAGGCGTGGCTTCACAACCCCGTGGGTGTGACCAAGCC